TGATTTTGGTCTGTCCTCAGATGCGTGTGAAGCATTTACAGTGTGTCAGGCACCATGCTAGGACCTGAGGACAGAATTTTACTTATACACAGCATCTTCTTGATAGCCTGAGAAATAAACCAACATTACCATGGAGTGTGACAAGTGCTCCCAGTGATGGGGCTATAACGGGAGCTACGGAAGTCACACGCAGGGCACAAAGACAGAGCAGTGAGGGACCGGGTCAGCCAAGGTTCCCTGGAGCTCTCTCTGGTGCTGTGCAGAGCCTAGATGGCTTGCATGATATTTGTGGGGGAGGTGAGGAGGAGTCAGATGCTAAAATGGGGCATGGTGTGCTAAAGAGTTTAAACTTTGTCTAAATGAATGTAGGATTTTAAACAGAGGAGTGACCCTTTCAGCTTTCTGTTTTAGAAAATCACCATGGCCCTGGGTTGGCTGACTGATTGGCGGTGACAGCAGATCTGAGGCTGGAAGACCTATACAACCGCAGTTGCAATATTCTAAGAGGGAAGGCAGGAGGGCCTGCAGTGTGAATGGAAAGGGAAAATGGATGAGAAAGCTACTAAGGCAGCAAGAACCAGAGTAACTGACCAATCTCAAAGGATTCTGAGTAGTGTCCACAATGACTTGTAAGTTTTTGACTTGGATACCTGGTGGAATGTGAAGATGTGATATAATGGGGAAGCGAATTTGGGGGGGGGAGAGATGATTTTATGTCACATTCTGTCCAAAAATAGCCATGCAAAGCTGTCAGAAATCATACCATACTCCTTTCCCATTTATCTGGGAAAATATCAGAAGTATAAGTAACCTCAATGGCTATAAAGCAAGTGTCTAATAAATATCTTATCCCCCAATTGTGTTTTATTCGCTACCCATAAGAATTCTGAGTTTCATACTTTGGGTCTTGGTACTTAAGAATATTTATAGATTGATTTCCTTTGGACTTGTCTAACTTTATACCCTAGTGCCAATAATAATTAGAACTACATACCCCCCAAGGAAGCCTTTCTTTCCCCAGGTTAGGTTCATTTTCCCAGGAAGAGCTACACTTTCAGCCTGTATATAGGAGGGGAGTTCTACACCTCACATTGTGTTGGTTACTCATCCACAGTAGCAACTCAGCTGACAGGTGGAATGATGTAATGTGCCCATCGGTTTTAAGGACCTAACATTTGGTTTATCACCCCCCAAACCCCCGAATGGTATTATCTCAGGTGTGTGTGCGCACACAGGGCTGTGTACACAACACCATTTCATGTTGTAATTTGTGTTCTTCCATAGAGGACTCCACTCTCAGAGCCTTGTTTCAGAATCTATGTATCTTCCCGAGGTAGCTGTGGGCCCTAGTGGAGCATCCCGATAGGCTGTATATGGTGTCCTCACTCGGCCACAGAAAGCTTGCATCAGGCCCAATCAAACCCAAATCTCACCTCGCCTCACCTCACCTCACCTCACCTCACCTCACCACCTCAAGGTAGAGTGTAAAGAGTCAAGGGCCATCTCTGAAGGGAGCAGCTCTCAACCTGGTCCCAGGCGGATGACACCTTTATGGGGAAAAGGCTTTCTAAACCTGGCACTGGGGTGCAAAAAAGCTGATGAGGTGAGTAATGAGGCCAGTCTCTCCATGCTATGATTTATAGGACTGGGCACCACACGGTTCTTAGGAAATTGTAAAGCCAAGACTTCATATTTTCCAGTATGTACAACATGCGTATAGTCAACTAACTTGGAGCTAATGGCAAAGGAGTTGCCAGAAAATCAAACTCTGGCATAGATCAAACAAACGCTGTACTGTGCAGGAGATCGAAAGCAAAGGTGGCATTCACTCAGGCCTGAACTCCCCATCTCTGTGCCTTTCCCTCCAGCAACTGAACCCAGGCACATCACCTTACCAGGACAACACACAGGCCTCTTTGCTATCAGTCACAACTTAGCATGTCCAGGAAGCTGTTACAGTGACCATTTACAAACTTTAAAAATGGGCTTCAATCCAGATCATCGGGAGAGAAAGCAGGAATAATGAGTTATATGTAGCCCTGGCTGGTGTGGCTCAGTTGGTTAGGCATCATTCCAGGAATTGAGGGGTCACTGGTTCAATTCCAGGTCAGGGCACATGCCTGGGATCCCCACTGGGGTGTGTGCAGGAAGTAGCTAATTGACGTGTCTCTCTCCTCCTCTCCCTTCTTCTCTCTCTAAAAATCAATTTAAAAATCTCAAAAAAAAGTTATATGTTAATTATCTGCCACCATTATTGTGTCCTGGCAATTAACCTTGAAAAATAATGCTAGAAAGGCATTAACACAAAAGGAAAAGGGGAATACTCCCAGTAACAAAAACCAACTGTTCATTTCACTGGGTCGGCCATGCCCATAGCTTAGAGCAGGTGTTGAAAATTGCAGCCCAGAGCCAAATTCAGCCCACCACTTGTTTTGTATGGCCCATCAACTAAGAATGGCTTTAACAATTTTAAATGGTTGAAAAACATCAGTAGAACGGTAACATTTCATGACATGTAAAATACGTCAAGTTCAAATTTCAGTGTCTGTAAATACAATTTTATTGGGACATAGTCACACCCGTTTGTTTATGCTTTTGCACTACAACAACAGGCTTGAATAGTTCCAGCAGATCGTATGGCCCACAAAGCGTAAAATACTATCTGGCTCCCTACAGGAAAGGTCTGACAACTCTAGGCTTAGAGTATCATTACTCAAGGTGGTATAGTTGGCCCTAACCAAATGCTTGTCCTTGTTAGGGACTAAATAGTTGTGCCCCCAGTGATGAGAGGTAATTAGGTCATGAGGGTAGAATCCTCATGAGTGCAATTAATGCCCAGAGACACAAGAGCTTGCTTCCTCTCTTTGCTTTTGACCATGTAAGGCAGCGGTTCTCAACCTGTGGGTCGCGACCCCTTTGGGGGTCGAACGACCCTTTCACAGGGGTTGCCTAAGACCATCGGAAAACACATATATAATTACATATTGTTTTTGTGATTAATCACTATGCTTTAATTATGTTCAATTTGTAACAATGAAAATACATCCTGCATATCAGATATTTACATTACGATTCATAACAGTAGCAAAATTGCAGTTATGAAGTAGCAACGAAAATAATTTTATGGTTAGGGGTCACCACAACATGAGGAACTGTATTAAAGGGTCACGGCATTAGGAAGGTTGAGAACCACTGATGTAAGGATACAAAGAGAAGTCAGCAGTCCTATTCTGGCATCCTGATCTTAGACTTCCAGCCTCTAGAACTGTGAGAAATAAATTCCTGTTGTTTATTAGTCAACCAGTTTAGGGTATTTTGTAATAGCAGCCCAAGCTGACTAAGACAGTCTTCAAATACTCCCCATGGCCTTGTCAGTGTCCAAATATTCCATTATTAGTCACTTTTCAGTGATTAGCTTGTTAGTGGGGATTAGTTTATTGTATTAGGAAATAAGACTTGGGAGTGGACCACAGAATCCCTCAGCAGTGGGGGTTGATAAAGGGCAGTGGAACTCTATTTGCATTAATTCACAATATTACTAGGCTTCATGAACTAACTGCGGGGGGACGGGGCGGGGGGAGTCCTGACCTATGCTGCATGTGAAAACAATTCACCCAAGGTTCCCAAAATTATCATGAAGGTTGGTCAATAACTGAATAACCCTAGAAATCTCCTACTCAGCCCAGGCATCCAAGGGGCGAGGTGCATTCTAGAGCAGCGGTCGCCAACCGGTGGTCCGCGGGCCACTGGTGGTCTGTGAGGTCTGAAAGGTTGGTGACCGCTGTTCTAAAGGACCCAAGGGCAAAGCAGGAAGGTTTCTGTACAAGCCACCGAACCTCAGATGCCTCCAGGGCTGACTTGTTAGCCAAAACTTGATCACTCTTCTCTTTGTTTCCCACCCTTGCCTCCTCTAGGCTGAGAGGGGTGGCCTGAATTGGATATGAAGCACTCAAAACAGCAACAGGCAAAGGAGCCCTGTGGTTGCTCTGGACTCACTGCACATGTGCACAGAGTTTGGACTTTGAGTCCTGGGTGGGGCCTGGGGGCTGCAGAGCTGCAGAAGCTTCTCTATGGTTTGCAGACCTAAGAGCCCAGCCAAGGACAAGAGTCACTCAGTTACACATTGGAGTTCTGGGTTTTCAAAGGATGTGGACAGACACCCCAAACTATAGAGCAAACAACTCTAGAGAGTGAATGGAGAGAAAAGCACACTCCAAGAGAAGATGAAAAAGTCACATCTAAACTGGGCAGAGCAGGTGGAGAAATCCGGGGAAAAGCTGACACACTCAGGCTACATTTACTGGATACGCCACTTAGGAAAATCAAATGCTGTGCTGTGCTCTGACATATCTTCTCAACTGCATCAGCAAATCCTTAAACAGAGCAATGACTTCTTCCTTCCTCAGTTACCCTTTTGGCCAGAATGTTTAGTCTAGGAGGAATTAAGAAGTTGCTAGAACAAGAAAGGGGAGTCATGAGGGTGGGGAGAGGGGTTGAGAAATAGTCTATCCAGCAACACAAATCTCCCGGGTGCTTTTCCCAGCAGGCATGTCATTCTGCTACATGCAATAGGTCAGAGGCATGGTAGAGCTGAGACTTAACTCACTGCACCATTTAGAGGTGATTGTTCAAAGCTGGGAGGCAGGGAGAGAGGGGCTGCACTGGGGCCCAACAGAAAAGTGTTCAAGCTTTCTTACTGCTCAGGTTTATCCAGCAGCTTCAATTCTTCTTCTTTGGATGTCTCATAATACTTCCTTATTTTAACCAATTCATCCTCTTGGGCTCTCTGTGTTAAAAAAGAAACAAAACAAAATACACAAAAAATAATGAGCACTGAGAATCAAGCAATAATTCATCTCGTGGCACATATAAACTAATTACTAAAATTCTACTGCAAATCAAGAAAATATATATTTTTTGCCAATCTGACAAAAAGCAATAGGTATAATTTTGATTCACTCAAACCAGAGGCTATTGTTGTGTTGGCTGTTGTCATTTTTTTTTTTACTTGACAATCTAAGGAAAAAGAGGTTAGTGCCACTGACTAAATAGTCCGGTATTGCATGTTTTAAAAATTCTTGAGGTACACCAGTGTGCCATGGTACACTGGTTGAAAATCGCTGGTCTAAAGCAATGTGTCTCAAAGTGTGGTCTCTGGACCAGCAGCATCAGTACCACCTGTCACTAGTTAGAAATGCAAAATTTTGGCCCTACCCTAGACTTAAGAAACTCCAGGGGTGGGACCCAGCAAGCCTCCCAAGTGATTCTGGTGCATGCAAATGTTTGAGAATCCCTGGCTAATGCAAAGGTCATAAGTGACATCAGCTGATTACAGAAGCCAGGACATTGGGCTGCTGCCTTTGAATCCTCTCTCTGTTTGCCCATAAGCAGATAAGGGTCAAGCTGTCCTTAGCATTTGCTTCCTGACTCTCAATAGCCCTCCTAACTTATGTAGGCTCTTGACTTTTTTTTTCTAGTCACCATCTTCTCTTTTTCTAAATTTTGTAAGCATTCCTTGTCTACACTGCTTATTTTGGCATTTAGTCGCACACTTTCTCAATGTATCCAACTATTTCAGTTGGATGCAACTTACCTCTACTGTGAGCTAACAAGTACTGACCATGTACACAGTCCTGAGCCCAGGGTAACAACAAAAAGCATTAGGAAGGCATTATGCCTTCTGCAAAGTCCTTTAACACCATCACTTATCCTCATTATATAGATGATTCCACTGAAGCCACAAAATACCTGGTACAGGGCCTGACTCGCAATCTCTCTCTCATAATAGCATACTGCCCTCCAGGTGCTCAACAAATGCAATGTCAGCTCCCGATGGCCTTGTATCTGTGTACCTTCTTGTCTTTTAATGAGAGCCTTACTGATGGAAACATGAGAAGTTCCCACCCAGAAGTACTAGACAACTCCTGATACATGTAAAGGGTGTAAAAACGTGTAGGGAACTGTCCAGAGAACCTGTAATTGTGCTCGTTATTTCCACATACAACCCAAATTTAAAGACCATATATGTGTACAGTGCTGTTTGTTTTCAAAATACATTGCTATTGCTACATATACTGAATTATCTTTTGATGCTCATACAGAATCAGGTAGAGCACATTTGAATTCTTGTTGCACTGATAAGCAGACAGGCTTAAGGAATTTAAATGGCCCGAAGTCACTCAGCAGTCAATGATAGAGCTAAACCCGTCTGATTCTAAATCCAGAACACACACTCATCATCCTATGCTACACCCCACATTCAACACCGTCAGCTCATTTGGACTAAGAGTAATCCTCCTAGCTGGTATTAGCATTTCCATTCCTCATAGGAAGACACTGGTGTACACCAACATTGAGTCAGTAGCTCACCTTCGTTAACTCTGATAGCAGGCTACAGGGCTGAGTTCCGTGGCACAGAAGTGGTCTCCACCTTGACCCACCCTCCCTTGCTGGTGTGCAAAGTGATCTACTAACTCAGATACCACAGTGGGGGTGAGGAACCTTGTGCTTTTCTCATGTCTGCTCTTATTTGAGCTTGCATTTCTGTGCCTTAACCTCATCCATGTTATATCAAAATGCTTACCACCAAAGAACATGAATGAATGGCTCAGCAATTTTTCAGGAGGGAGTCGCTTATAACCACTTTTTTTAGACCATAACATGTTATTTATTTATTTGTTTGTTTGTTTGTTTGTTTGTTAGTAAGGACATGGAAATATGCAAACTCTTGCTCAGAATGGCTTTGATACTCACATTTTCATATAAAGCCGCCAGGGTCTCCAGATCAACCACAGAGTCATCCACGTTGAAAATGGCTGCCGAGCATCCGAAAAGGGAGAAAAAAGAGTAACAGCTTTGAGTAGACTCCCCCATACTAACGTTTATTCCGTGCCTAGCTCCCAAGCAATACAATATTGCCCTTTCTCGTACAAGGTGTGTCTTTCAGCATGTCTTGTCCCTTTCCCTTTGCACTAGGGCCCCGAGGAAAGAAACCAAAATGGTTGGCTGCTGTTGCTGGACTGAGCCCTGGCCCCACCCGGTTCAATTTCTTGAGCTCGGTGTCCGTTCTGCAGTTTAATTTAGGCTCCTTGGGAGAAGTGTATGTGATTTAAAACTAAATCAGTTTGTAGGTTTAAAGCACAATTTTAAATCTTTCTTCCCGGCTGGTAATTGAAGAGATTTAGTACCTAATGCACCAGAACTGACTCTTGCCCATTACCAGGAAGAAAGAGAGAAAAAGGACAATGTTGGCAAATTAAATGAATTCAGCCATGTGATTTCAGGCACCTTTCCATGGTCACTGCAAACATCTTGTTTGGATTAAAAAGACAAGAAAAAGCAATAATTGCATCAATGGCAAATTAAGATTATGGAAACCTCCCAAGCGTTGGTCTTAAGGCAAATTTTCATTCCTATGGTTTTATTAGGATTTTGCTTGCTGTTCTGTATCTTAAATAAGTCACTTAGCTATTAACCGATATGCTTATGATTTCATCTAGAGAGATTCCTTCCCATATATACCAGGATACAAACATTGAATTTAAAGCTTTAATGCATTTGGCAATCAAAGTGTTTGAAATAGGCTGCTCCACATCTTTAAATAATTATTCAAAACTAATAAGGTTTGTTTCCTCAACCCCACCTCCCTTCTCTGACTTTACATTGTGAAATTAACCAGCACGCTAGTAAATTTTCTCTGTGGCAGGCTAATTAATTTTATTAAACCAACCAGTGATATTTAGAATGCCTTAAAATCTGCTCGTCAACCATTATTCTATTCATTGGCATTACACCATGGTTTTCAGAGAAGGTAGGGATCAAGGTAAAGGGCAGGTTGCTTTCAAATTACTTTGCTTCTTCTGTAGTTTAGAATCATATGAATCCCTTTATATAATTTTAACAAAGTTAATTAACTCAGCTAAGATCATGTAACTTCACAGGACATCGAGAAATGTACTTAAAATTCCTTCTCAGGCCACCTTTCTCTAACTTAGTAGTTAATCAGCAAGCTACTCCTAGATACATGGGTTAGTGAGAAAGGAAGAGGTTAGCATGCTAGAGACAAAGTCAGTCATCTCAGATTCTACCTCTAACAAGACAAAGAAAAATTACCCTTCTGAAAAGGCCAACCTGAAACCACAAAGGGAAATGTAGTTTGAGAAAGAATTTACCCTCCCAGCACTGTTCTTTGTACATGGAGATAATATGAATTCACTAATTTATTAGACAGACTAGGTACTTTTAATATGGTGCTTTAAAAAACAGAAACTAGCCCAGAACAATGTTTTGTTTTTTAAATGTCAATTCCAACATTCTCCTACAAAAATCAGCCAACAGGAATGCAATGAGAAAACGTGAAATTCTAAGTAATTTATCAGAAATGTTCACTTCTAATCATACATCCTAGTTACTATATATGAACTATATATGCGTAGTTATAATTGAGAAACCTTAACTAATGAGAAAGAGAATATCTGCGGGTTTCTTTCCTTGGAGAGTAAATATTTGGTTTTAAAAGTTAATCAGGCCCTAGCCAGTTTGGCTCAGTGATTAGAACATCGCTCACGGACTGAGAGGTCATGGGTTCAATTCTGGTCAAGGGCATGTACCTTGGTTGCAGGCTCAATCCCCAGTAGGGGGTGTGCAGGAGGCAGCTGATCAATGATTCTCATCATTGATGTTTCTCTCTCTCTCTTCTCCCTTCCTCTCTGAAATCAATAAAAATGTTTTTTAAAAAAGTGAATAGCATGGGTCCCAGATACACAATTGGAGGGTTTTATGGTCAGCCAGTGCCTCTCCAGTGTGCCTGGTGGCAGAAAGAACACATCTAGCAAGCATGGGGCACAAGCACAATCATGGGCTCTGGAGACGTTTGGTTGCTCATTCACCCATCCCTTGAGTAAACATTTGTTGAATGTGTACTAAGTTCTAGAAACTGTTCTAAAATGCTGTGATTATGTATATCCAAAGTGTATAAGATATTCAAAACACTTGACATCTTGACATTTGTACTCTAGCTTAGTGGAAAGAAAAAAAAACAAGTAAATCGTTTCACATAGTGATACACTATGAAGAAAGTAAAGTAGAGAAGTGAGTGACATTAGATAGAATGATCGATGAAGGCTTCTTTGATGAGGTCAAATTTTAGCTACACACTGAAGGGGTCAGTTCTTCGAATGTCTGGGAGAAGAGCATTCCAGGGAGAGGTAACTGCAAAAGGAAATTTCTTTTTCTGGTGAAGAAACAAGCATAAGGTACAGAAAAAGACCAAGATGATTATCATGGAAAGATCAAGACATCCTCACTATGTGATCCTGGCAGGTTAAACTGTCAACCTCAAACATATAAAACATACCCCCATAAAACGTAATACCTATAAACAAGTAATACCACTTACTGAAAATATTAAGGGAGGTAATGTGTATGCTTGGCATTGCACATAGAGCATATAAACTCAAAATGGTATCTATGAACTATGACTATTATGATTTTAAATATATACATTGTTCATGTGTTTTAATGTTTGTTAATGCCTTATGTGCTCTAACATCTGGAAAGAATTAGAGAAAGAAGACTACAACTACTGAATAGTTTGCTATAAACAAACTTTCTAGAATTCTTGAGTGTTTAAGGTAGGAGGTTCAACTTTAAAAAGCATTATTAATAGAAAAGGTATATGCACAGATAACTACAAAAAAATAATGTATCCAATGTCTGAAGGTTAATACAAGATGCCCTTGGGTCCATTCAGAATGTTAACCTAATTTTATCTCTAATTTCCATCTTTCTCACTAATATACCCTTCATCATACCAGAAAACACGGGTCTCAAAATTTTACTTTGATGTTTAAAATACCTTAGATGTCTTTCCTTTAAATATTTGGTGAAATCCAAGCTTTTTGGACTGATTTTTAAGGCCACCCCCTTCCTGCCCCCAAGCTACACTTCCAGTCTCATCTCCTACCACTTCTGTTTCTCCCATGTACACTGTGCTCCAGCCAGATGGGACAGCTCCCCATTTCTGAACATGCCAGTTTCTGCCTTTCCCACTCTCATCCTCCGAGGCCCAGGTGAAAGGTTTTCTGCCCTGGAAGGATCCCCTTGACCTTGGGATCCTGAAGTCCTCACTCTTTGCCTCTTCTATGGTATTGTACTCTATTTTAAGAACCTGTATTATGGGATGTTGCATAACAGTTCCCTCTCGCATTGAATGGTAAGCCCCTGTAGTCAGGGATATTCCTATGCATCTTGATAAACCCAGCTCCCAGCAGAATACCTGGGGTGTAACAAGAATAAAGTAAACATTTGTCGATGGGAAAGATGCTACAGGAATCCCAAAGAGTGAGTCCTTCTGCTAGGTGTCAAATTAAAAAATTGATTTGAGAGAGAGAGTATGGGACAGGGAGAGAGACAATCACCGATGAGAGAAGGAAACATCAAGTGGCTGCCTCCTGCATACAACCTCATGGGGATTGAGCTCTCAACCCCAGGCAAGTGCCCTGACCAGGTATTGAACCGGTAACCTCAGTGCATGGGACCATGCTCAACCAACCGAAACAGGCATCAAAGTTTCTTGATAAAGAGAGCATGGGGTCTTGAAAAAGAAAACATAGTATATTAAAAAGGGATAAGATGTTGACAGATAAAATCCATTTGTCCCTGTTAAAAAATCAAGGTTTAGCCCTGTCCAGGTTGCTCAGTGGTTAGAGTGTCAGCCCAGGTTTCTCAGTGGTTAGAGTGTCAGCCCATTCACCAAAGGATCATGGGTTCAATTCCTGGTGGTATGTTGCATAACAGTTCCCTCAGCCTCAATTGGGATGTGTGAGGGAGGCAACAAATCGATGTCTCTCCTTCTCTCTCTCATTCTCTCTCTCCCTCCCTCCTTCTGCCCCTCCCTCCCACTCTCTGAAAATCAATTAAAAAAAAATCCCCCATTGAGGATTAACAAAACAAAACAAAACAAAAATCAAGGTTTAGTTAGTACAGTTGCACAATTATGCCCTTAGTATAGGTGCATTGCTTGACCAAACATTCCATGCTAAAACATAACTAAGTGTAACAAGTGAATTTTCTCATATTTTAAGAAAAAAAATTTCCCTTCATTCTTGACCTTCAAAAACTTTTAAAATAGCAGTATCATCTTAGGGGAAAAGGTTACCAGTAAATATTCAACTGTTATATGGCTTCAGGAAGACACCTGAAACACCCATTTATTAATCACCATTAATTATGCCAAATTCATCCCAAGCAATGACCATTTGTAAATTTACAAGTACCAGTGAGCATTGACCAGAAGGATGTGGGACATTCCCAGTGGAAAAAGCAGATGCAGACAGGCTAATGGAACTTGCAGGCAATGGCAGGTAGTTCAATTTTGGCTTCAAGAAAGCATCAATTAACTGCACTAAGGAGATAAGATCCAACCTAGTCTAGAGAAAGGCTTGTGCAATTCTGAATGCCACAATGAGGAGCCTGCAGTACACTTGATATACTGCAAGGAAGCACTGAGCAGTTACAAGTGGGGGAGTAAATTGGATAGAGTTATAATACACTAGAGGCCCGGTGCACAAAATTCACGCATGGGTAGGGTCCCTAGGCCTGGCCGGCAATCAGGGCTGATCAGGGCCTTCCTTCCCCTGGCTGCTGGCTGCCTGCCAGGGCCTTCCTTCATCCAGCACCACCCTCTGGTGGTCACCACATGTCATAGCGAGTGGTTGAACTCCCAGTCGGTCGAACTCCTGAGGGACAATTTGCATATTAGCCTTTTATTATATAGGATAGGACACATCAAAATTTGGAACCAATGGTTTCAAAC